CGTGTGAATTTGAGCTAGCGATGTTTTGTAACTTCCCCCAGCCGCTGCACGCTTGCACATACCCATTGCACAAGCCAACTACAAAAGTCCCCAGAGTGCACCCATAATTTAAGCACTCGTCCGCCCACGTCCGTGTCACCCAGACAATAGGACGCAGGGATGCAAACACACAGGCACAGACCCGGCAGCGCACAACCGTCGTCGGCTTCTCTTGCAGCCCATCCCTTTCTTTTGTCTGTACACGATCTATTTAGATTGGAAGCTCTCAGGCGCAAGTACCTTAGCCAAGATTTTTCAAGAAGCGATTAGTAAAGTTGGGTTGTGAGACTGAGAGGGTGGTGTGCTGAGGAGCACGCAGCTCCTGCTAGCACAGGAGGAAAGAGTCCCAGCTGCATTTCTGTTATATGGACAACCAACTTGCAAACACCACCTTTTCCCCTTACACCTTTTCTGCTAAGTAACTTTTAGGCACTGTAAGTCTCCAGGTGAATGGAAGCACCTGGTAAGCCCTCACTGAAATCTGTATGGTGGGTCTATTCCAATGGCACGATTGTTCATTTTTTCATGGTTTCTAAACTGTTTGTTGGTACACGTTAGTGTCAGTTGCCAACAGATGGAAGCACTTGCAGCAGAAAGCAAGAGAGAAATGGAAGCATTTTGTGTTATTTCAGCTCATTGAGATTAAAAGGTTTTTTGGAGAACCGTCTGGCTTTACTCGCATGAAAGGCTGAAGGTGGGAGTGATGGGAGACCCTCAGAGGAATCATCCCTCCCCACCCTGACATGTGCAGAGCCTTCTTCACTTCTGCCACGGGACAGGCGATGCTGGCCCCTCGCGGGCTCTGCCGACTCCCCTCCCAGAAGCTGCTCTGGGAGTCTGAGGTTTGTGGCAAAGGTTGGATGGGGCAAGGGAAAGGATGAGAAGGTCAGGTGCTCTGACCACCTCCAGCCCTTGGGGATTCCCTAAAAAAGACCTCAGGCCGGGCAAGAGGGCATTTGAAGATTTCCTTCAGAACAGCTACAGGCCATGGGCTTTCCTTGAAACTTAAAAGTGAGATGGGATCACTTCGGATCAGGGTCGGAGGGCATCCTTAACTGCGGTTGACCAAAGGTGTACCTGCCCCTGGCTAGCTTTGCCAGGAGGCAAAACGAAATTTCTGTTCCTAAAAACGCACTTCTTGGGCCAGCAGCTTTTTAAGCTCCTTCTCAAATCCTGCTCAGCAATATTATTAGCTCTCTCTCTGCTCCTCAGAATCCAGCCTTTTGATATAAGGATGCCAAAAAAGCATTTGGGAAAACCACACATCCAACATGGGATAATCACATCTAATGGTCAGCTTAACCTTGGACATCTCAGGCCCCCTGGGGCTAAATCCATGTAGCCTTTTTATTTTGCGCCATTTTCAGGCAGCTGGTCCATTAGTGAATATTTCAGAACTATGTAGGTTAAAACAATCCAATAAGAAAAACAATAAGAAACAGTCAAAAGAAGAAAAACCTAATTTTTCTGCAGACATGCACAGTAGGTCAAATGGCCTAAGGGAAATATTTAATTTAAGAGTCATACTATTTCTACCAAGTTTCCTAACCAAAAGTATTTTCATCAGGAGCACTACTCTTGATCTGGTTACTGCTAATGATTTTCCCCATGGACTTCGCTCATAAAAACATGAATTGCTTTATGAATCATAGAATCATAGAAGTTGAAGAAGAAAATGATGGGTTAGGTCATCTTGCCCTTCTCTCTGACAGTGCAGTATTATTTCTTTTTATAAAAAGTTTTGAAAATAAGCATTTATTCAAAGCTGGAGAATGAAAATGCTAAGTTCAAAAGAGATTTGAAAAATACATAATGAAAGCAGTGGACTAAGAGCCAGATTCTTAAGTACCTTGGCGCTCTCTACAAGACATGACAATTCGATGAGAAGTATCATCTGGATAGGCACAGCCAGAAATTCAACGGCAAAAAAACGACAATGGTGTATGTCCTGCGCACAGGTAATTATTACAGTTGTAAATGCAAATCCAGTAGTTACATAGGCAAACGTCCTGCTAGGCAAAGATCTGGCCATCACAATAGCCATGACCCAATCTACAATGGGGTGTGCAAGAACCCAAAGTCTGGAGGCCTTTGTGCAGAGTGAAGGTGGCACATGTGATAATACACACCATATTATTGTCACCTGTCGCGACATCTCCACACGCCCCAGGGAGACAAAAACTCTGAGCTTTGCATATTTGCATTTGGAGCCTTTGGTTTGGGTATTCTTCCTTTTTCCAAAAATGGCTTCAAGTCCTGTTTTGTATTGCTTTTCGAAGTTTTAGTCCCCAAGTATGCCTACTTGAAGAGGCTGTCCATTTTCATTAAAAAAAACGCTTTAAGAACCTAATTCTGGCCCAGAAACTGCTCCTGCTCCAACATTCTATGAAGACAAACGAAAATCTTTCTTTTCTTAAGTTCATCAATCTAAAGGTTAAAAAAAAAAAGAAGGTATTTCTACATCCTGTGAAATTCACTAAAAATTGTCCTGGTGTGAAGTTTTGACTTTTGCCTCAGATGGCCCCCATCCTCAGAAATGGCCCCTTACCTTCCAGCATTTTTCACAAAGAATGCAGGCACTTACTAGAATTCAGATTGTCTGAGAACCACTATAAACATAAAGTAAATGAATCAAAGACTGTTGCTGGAGTTGGTTTTAGGCTTCAGCATGTTTTTTTCTGGATTTCTGTAAGATGGCAGTATCTAATTTTGTTCCCATTACTGTCTTGCACAGATTTCTTTTGAATTGGGAAGTCTTAGAAAATACATTTCAGTATTTCTGTAATTCCTTTAGCTGAAGCGAGAGAGTGAATCATGGATCTGTAAGCATGAACGTTCCCAAATATTGATTACTGGAACTAGAAACACTCTCATCTACCAGTTTTTGTTTTGATTCTGGTCTGAATACCAGAAGGCTGATATAATATTAAATCTCTTCAGTACAAAGCGCGAGTGTTTTGATTTGTCTTGTATGTGAGTTTGCCCAGGTAGCAGCCCTGCAATCTGTTCTTGTACAGGCTACACATGTAGCTGATCTAACTGGACCAATGCAAAATAGGATACACCCATGTTGCCAGAGTACAAAAAATAAACATATAGGCCAAACCCGCCAGAACTGTCTCAGAATGGAGAATGCACTGGATACCACTTCTTTTTTCCTTCACGCCTCTGGCATGTCTCTGTAGGCCAACGTGTATCTCAGTCAAACGCGTAAGGAGGAGAGGAGGTACGAGACTGATCGCAACGGCCGCTGCGGTTCAGAAAGCCTTGGTGAGGAGTCAAACCGAAGGACTTCGCAGCCCACTTACAAATGAAAGGAGCATAATCCCTTCT